AAACCGAACTTAATATAACTTGAACTGGACATAAACCACACCGAATCAGACTAAATAAGGTTTATTTCAGTTGAAAAAAATATATTAAAACCGAACTAAACAAACCAAACCGAAAAAGTTACGATTTGCCCACCCTTACTGCATCCTAGAGATTTGTGGAAATCTTGTCTCAGCATTGAAACTCTCACTTGTTCCACTAACTCCCACATTTGAACTCAATAGATACTCATGTTTCAGTATTATACTATATTATACTAGATTAATATAGGGTATTTTAATAACTGCTAAAAGACTTTGATTTTAACTTGTTTCCTTTGATTTGGTTCACGAGAATCATTTGATGGTATATATCATATACATTTAATTTATACGATGACTTAGAATTTAATTTGTTTGCTTTGATTTGGTTCACGAGAATCATTTGAAAATAATGATTGTTTTTAAAAAAATATATAGTGTTTTCCCGTTTTTTTATAAAACAAATAAAATCATTTATTCTTGAATTTATATTTATTTTATCTATTAATTTTATTTAAATTTCCTTTTTATTTTATTTAAAATTTTTGTGAATTTTCTTATTTTGGGATTTTTTTATAATTTCTTTTAAATTTTTCTTATTTTTAATATTTTATTAATAAAATATTTAAATTATTTTGTGATTTTTTAATGTTTATGATTTTTTATGATTTTTTCAATTTTTAATGATTTTTAATGAATTTTTATATTTTATGTATTTTTATACTTATTTATTAGTAAAATATTTTTTTTTTTTAAACACAAACCGACACGTCATCGATTTTAAACAGTACCGGTCACATTTTTAACTTGATGTACAAGTAAGCCAGATTAGAGGTTTAATATGCTAAAGTTGCCAACTTAAATGTTTAAAGTGCTTGTAAAATACTCACAGGGTATAAAGTGTAAGTGGTTGTCACCTTAAATGTTTTTTATGCGATTTTCCCAAAAATAAATTATTCTATTTCTAGAGTAACCTTCATTATAGTACCCTTCTGAATTTGAGAGGCAAAAGTAAGTAATGCTTGTCTGATACAGAGTCGTGGAAGACTTCAAAGAATGGACTAAATGAAAGTAATAGTTAACTTTGATTAAAAGGTGAAGACTTCAAAGAATGGAGTTAATGAAAGTAATAGTTACCACATATATACAATACAATTCTAATTACAAAGGATAATATAAAATCCGTTATTTCTAAAACTGTACACTATTTATAAGAAGTCTTACCAAATCCATTAGATAACGAATGAAAATATTTTCGTAAAACACACTAATTATTTTGAGACTTTGCAATTATACATATACACAATAACTGCTTGCACCATGTGCGTTATTTTATACCCTCTCATATAATGTCAAATATTGAGTACCGGCTTTTCTCCATGGTGTAGGGTTTCTCCAAAACATGGTAGTATGATGATGTACAGTCCGTTACTTCTAAACCGATACACTATTATAATAATTTTTTGAACATACTTATGTCCGCACAGGGTGCGGGCCGGTCACCTAGTTATAAAATAAACTTGCAAATAAAACGGCAGCGTATGAGTAAAAAGTACACGTGTCAAGTTTAGGTTGCAGTATTTGATGACGTGGCATAATGAGAATGAGGGAAACTATAGTTTATATATATAGATNTAAACCGATACACTATTATAATAATTTTTTGAACATACTTATGTCCGCACAGGGTGCGGGCCGGTCACCTAGTTATAAAATAAACTTGCAAATAAAACGGCAGCGTATGAGTAAAAAGTACACGTGTCAAGTTTAGGTTGCAGTATTTGATGACGTGGCATAATGAGAATGAGGGAAACTATAGTTTATATATATAGATTAGTTTCAAGTTGGAATAATGTGAAATAAGTGTGTAAAAATATCAGAGAGTACATACTTTCAAGCAAGTAAGTTGTCTACCAAACACGATACAGTAAAAATAGATTAAAGAAGTTTTCTGAGTTATATATATCTGGTCTCCTTGGGAATAAAAAAAGAACTAATGAGTTACTGATTTTTAAGATAATAAATCAAGAGAAAAAAAGAGAGATTTTTTAGTTTTAAGCCGATGGCCAGAGGTTTTTATAGCTCCGACATCGGCTTGTTTAATTCTTCTTATTACTATTTCTTTGATATGTTTTCTTTATGGTCTTTTAGTTTGTTTGATTGCCAATTTATTTTGAATCTGACAAAATTTGGATTGTTCTTTTGTATGGTTTTTCCAATGGATTTGGAATGGAAAAAACTTCGGTTCAATTGAATCGTTTAGAAAAGGTAATTGACAGATCTACTGTGGATGGTGACGACGGGTCTTATCGGCTTCAATCGTTGATAGTTCTTCACTTGATGGTGATGGATTTTTTGCTGCAAACTATGGTTACTTCGAAAGACAACATGAAATTCTATGGAACGGTATTCTCTTTGGCTCTGGTATTATCAATAGAGCAATATAAAGAGTTGTCTTCTCTCGTTGGCTCCTACTGGAGTAATAAAAAAAGAGTAGCAATTGTTTTCAACTAAGTCTGAAATATGGTGTTTCTGGATTAATACGAAGATTATCTCCTCTAAGATTCAACTATTTCAGAAGCAAATATGAAGCTTTCACATAAAAAAATTTAGTCATCCATACGCTAATAAATATATTAGTTTACTTTGGATCTCTACTGGTGTATCCCTTTTCTATATTGTTTTTGCCAATTCTCATTATGTAAAACTATTTGCCTAAATGACTTAATAACACAATCCAGCGTTTAAAAAAAAAAATTAGTTATGCTACTAGAGAATGTGACGTGGAAGATCTGGCCGGCCCATTTATAGGTACATTCTCAGTGTTGGACTTTCTTTGATAAATGATAGTCTGTGATGGTTGGTTCCATGAAATGGCTAAGCTTTGATGGAAGTTGTAGTGCGGTTTTGATTGGTTGTATTCAGGGCAAATATATAAATTTCCTTTTCGTTTTTATACTCAAGACGTAAGAGAGATTTTGAAACAGAGCAGACGTTATTCAGAACTTGTCAACATAAAATATATATTCGAGACTAGCACAATGTTGTTAGGTATCTCAAGTTGGTGAACACTTACTCTATCTATTGACCATTGTCTCTTTCATTCTTGTTTTTCCTCCACTAATGTATCCCGGAGACTAGAAACACCAAAGTTACTACTTCTAGGTTAAATTTGCTTTCCGTTTATTCACTCAAGACGTAAGAGAGTTTTGAAAACAAAAGTTCTAAAAATGGTATATATATGGTTGAGAATAGCACAAGATAGTTGGATCCTCACGTTGGTTGACACTTGCTCTATCTATTATCTGTGTCATTCTTGTTTTGGGTTCACTGTTGTGTCCAAGAGGCTTGAAACACTAAAGATACTACTTTATAGGTTTAAAGATAATGGATATATGTGCATGTTGTATACTGTTTTTAGCATTTCTGTCATATGGGTCTTGTTCTTGTACTAGTTCGAAGTTTGAGGACGAGATAAAGTCAGAGTTGAAGCACATGGGAGCATGGATTTTGTCAATGGCAAACGCCAACACAAATTTCTTTATCTTTATTTGATATAACTACTTGAGCCGGATGAGAGGAAACTTTCATGTGAGTCAGTTCTTCATCACCAGCACCCTCCTTGGAAGGTAAGTTCATTGATATGATGTATGTTGATCCTATGAAGAGAATCGTCGCTTAATGTTGCTCTTATGTTGAAACTTGAAAGTACTTAATTATCTCTTTCGGATTCAACCAAAGAATTTTACCATTTAAAAGCCAGATGATGTCAGGCCAATCCATGAAATGAAGATTCTGAGGACCAAAGTGTTTGATTAAAAGTAATAGGAAAACATGAATGACACTGAAGAACCATACTGATCCTTGTTACTATTGTGGACTATAGTTATCTCAAGTTTTGAATCAACTTGACGAAAAATAGTGTCAAGGTTGATTTTAATCAGTCAAGCTAAGTCACTATCGTTAAATCAACGTAGTCTTAGAGCACATGCCATCAAGTTATATACTCTGAAAAGCTATCTCTCTCAGATACAGAGATATTGACCTCGCTAGATGCGAAATCTTCTTTTCATTTTAGACGTTGTATCTTTTTTTTTTCTTTTTGGGTAAAACACGTCGAGTCTTACAGCAAGAAAAGCTGGAATAGCTCAGTTGGTTAGAGCGTGTGGCTGTTAACCACAAGGTCGGAGGTTCAACCCCTCCTTCTAGCGACTTTATAATTTATGACATGCTTGTTTATTTTCTTACAGCAGTTTTTGCCAAGGAACAAAATACACCTCTCCCTGTTCATCTCAAGGTCAATTTGCTTTCTATTGATTGATATCTAACCACAAAACGTACAAACTGACAAGCTGGTGTTCTGTTAAACAATGAGAAGGTGGATAGAATAAGTGGAGGAGCAAAGTTAGGATTCATAATGATGGCAAAACCGAGCCACAATGCGAAGGTGGATAGAATAATTAAGTGGTTCAGGTTCTGGACGTACTGAGCCGAAGAGATATATATAAGAGAAGAAAGAATTATGAGAAATGAGAATAAGTCTCTCAGGAACATTTAAAAGAGGTGTTGAACTTTGCTCGAGTCTCATAAACTACTACACTCTTTGAACCCAATGTCGACACACCTTTTATGTATAACGTCTTGGCATTATCTCTGTAAGAAAGGACTGGTCGAATGGTCTGGTCTACATAAACATAGCCACATAGGTGTCTGAGGTTTAAAAACAACGTTAGCAACTTAATGTTACATTGACAATACATAAATACATTAGTGATGTATAAAACATGTGACAGTTTGGCCGAGTGGTCTAAGGCGCCAGATTTAGGCTCTGGTCCGAAAGGGCGTGGGTTCAAATCCCACAGCTGTCACTATTTTTTTATTTTCCAATTCATGATACGACGACGTAACAAAGGCATCATCAAGCGAATAAATCAAAGTAGGCTGGCCCAATAGTAATCCATAGTAAATTTCGAAACCCAAAAGCGAAAGGCTTATCGAGAGCTCACTCAGAGAAGAAGTGATAAACCCTAAATATAAAATCGATTTCTCGTCCATCTCTCTGTTGTCAAAGCTCTGTGTAGGCGGAACTACAAGAACGAGAACATCTTTCAGATCCGAGCTTATCATTTTACTTGCCCTTAACCATGGTAAGCTTCGTCTCTCTAAAGTTTCCACCTTTCTCTGTTTTTCTCAGATTTGATCAGAAAAAGTTTCGTTTTTTTTTTGTATTATTTGGAAATTAGAAAATCTATAATCTTTGTGGGTATCTCAATTGTGTTTTAATTAAGAATGATAGTGCTGTGATTCTATATCTATGATCTCTAGCTCGAGTTTGTAAGAATGGATTTTCTAGTTATATGCGTTAAGTAAGTGATTTGAATTGGTTGTGTGTATAGTCGAGGAGAAAGACGAGAGAGCCGAAAGAAGAGACAGTGACTCTCGGACCAGCTGTTCGTGATGGGGAGCAAGTCTTTGGTGTTGTCCACATCTTCGCTTCTTTCAACGACACTTTCATTGTATAGTTTCCTCACCCAATTTATTATTGTATCTCTAGGAGTATATGGGAGGCTAACATTTTGTCTGATTCATTATTTTGCAGCACGTTACTGATTTGTCTGGACGTGAAACCCTTGTCCGTATCACTGGTAAGCACTGTTTGGTTGTTCTCTAATGTAATATATGGTTGTTTATCATTGCACATTTGATTTTATTGTACTTGTGTTCTTCAGTGGGTATGAGATAGTGTGTTAAATGGCTTAATGTTTTATTTTTTTTGGGTTAGGCGGAATGAAGGTGAAGGCTGACAGGGATGAGTCCTCACCATACGCAGCTATGCTTGCTGCTCAAGATGTTGCTCAGCGTTGCAAGGTACATTGCTGCTACATAAACACAAATTCATTAGAAAACTGAAGTCCTCTCCTTATCCATGTACATAACTCTGCTTTGTGGGCAGGAGCTTGGAATCACCGCTATGCACGTGAAGCTCCGTGCCACTGGTGGAAACAAGACCAAGACACCTGGTCCTGGTGCTCAGTCCGCTCTTAGAGCTCTTGCCCGTTCTGGCATGAAGATTGGCCGCATTGGTGAGTTGCATATACCATAACCTAATTTTAACTAAGACTTGGTTTAGTGTGTCTTGAGTATTTCTAACATTGTTCTTGTTGTTGCAGAGGATGTTACTCCAGTCCCAACGGACAGTACCCGCCGAAAGGGTGGAAGGAGAGGAAGGAGGCTCTGAGTTTTTTCTTTTTGGCTTGGGCAATTTAGCTCTTTGATTCAGTTTGTCAGAACAATGTTTTCTTCAGTTTTGTGAAAGAGTTTCGAAGTTTAATGCTTTTTGTTGTGGAACAACATTTCCTGTTAAAATTCAGTCTATGGCGTTTGCGAATGATTTCAATAGTTATTGGTTTTAAAAGTCATCACTTTTCTGCTGAGCATTAGTTTGACAAAATATTATCTTAACACCATTCATCTACAGGTGTTCATCAGTTTCTGTTACTGTTGAACTCATGATAGATAAAACAGAAGTTTTTTATCAATGTTCTCTAAAGTGTTTGTATTGAACTGTTGAACTCATTATAGACAAAGTCAAAATACAAAATAAAGAAATAGGTTACACATTTCTGACCAAAAAGAGAAAAAAATAGATTATGTTAAGAAATGGAAATGATGGTTGGAACATATCCTGGAAATGGACCACTTCAGTATACTTCGATCTATTTCAGTCTCATTCCACTACTAGATCAGGCGTCAGCCTCCTTGTCATTATCTATTCGTCCCCTTTGTATTTATTCTATATATTGTAGTAGTTATCCTAAACCATATAGGTTTAGGATTATCTCTTTACTTGTAATCCTAATCTAGTTAGGATTATGATTATCACCAGCCATATAGGCGGTTGTGTAACCCATATATATATGGGACGTTTTGAGCTTAATGAAACACACAAGTTATTACCTTCTTAATCTCAACACGTTATCAGCACGAGCCTAACCCTAAGCTTTAGAAAAATCCGAGCTCAGCCATAAACCCTAGCCGCTTTCTCTCTCCTCCATACTTGGCGATCTCCACCTGCAACTCAACCTCAACTCTGAAGTTTGAAGCTGCAGAACCAGTACCTCTCCAAAGCTCATCCGAGCTCTCTCTCTCCTCACATCCAACCCGGCTGCCCTAAGGAGGTCCATTCAGAACTTTGGTGATTTTGAGGTACAACCTTAAAACTGACAACATAGATTTCGACCCCCATTAAAACTATAGCAATTCTGTTGTTTATAACTCATACTTGATCCCCTTAAAAACCTGACTAATGCGCATGACACAATCTTGTTATCATGTGCAAAGTTTAACATAAAAACCCTAATTGCTAAAATTGAAATCTATGCTTGATAAAATTCGTTTTGATTGTTTATTTGTCAAGTTATTTCATGTTGAATGTTTGATAATTCATACTGATTGATTTCGAGGTTTTAAGATTGAGTAAACTAAATTTGAAAGCACTAGATATCAAATTACATAAAACCGGCTAAATACTCTCTCTCTAGAAACCGTTTGATACCTCTTGTTTATGACTGATCCAAATTGTTCTTGCTGCATTAGATTTGTTAAACAATTATTGAAATTGATCATACTGAGACTATATGTTTATTTGATCATTGGAATGTTTAGATCTGAAGTTTTTAAGAATCTGTTTTTCTTTTTCTTCTTATGCGCATGAACATAACTTTGAGATTGCTTAAAACCCTAGATCTGATCTTGCTAACTACACGACCTAAGTCTGTTTTAGAATTCTAATATGATCTATCTAGATGTCTTTAACATTGAGTATGAATGCTAGGTTCAATGGTTGAATGATTGAGTTGATTAAATTTGCTAAAATTCTAATAGCACTGATGCGCATGAACATGAATCTGAGTTGTTTAAAACCCTAGATCTGATCCTGATAAATTGCACGACCTAAGTCTGTTCTAGAATGATAATATGATCTATCTAGTTGTGTTTAAAATTAAAAACGAGTGCTAAGTTCACTGGTTCAATGGTTGAATTGATTGTTTTGCTAAAGCCCTAATTACACCTAGGCGCATGAACCCAAATTCCGAGTAGCTTAGAACCCTAATCTAAAATTGAAAATTTTGTGGTCTCTGCTTCATATTACATGATCACATGAACCTCTTGATTGCTTGTAAAGAGTACTTGCTGGAATTAAATTGGTTGCATGATTCGGAATTTTGAAACTTTTTTGAAAACCCTAATTTTGGTTTTGATCCTAATCCTATTAGGTTTAGGATTTGTACTAGAATAAATTCGACCACCTTTTAATATGTCTTGCTAGTTTATACATTGAAACTGAGATCTCTGAGACTGTGGTTGACTGCTAAATTTATTTTAGAACCAAACTTGATAGAATTGTTAAGTTGTACAATTTGAAACCCTAAACCTAATGCTATGTGATCCGATTTTTATCCCCTTGCAACACTTGTTTTTTTGTTAAAAAATTTTCCATGTTTGCATGATCACTTTGATAAGACTTGAATATGTGATATTTGAGTATAGGTTATGAATGAAAAATTTTAGGGTTTCCACCTTGAATGACCATATAAATTGTATTGTTAAGATTGAACAATTATAAACCCTAGACATGATTCTTTGAATCCGATTTTCTTATACTTGCAATGCTTGGTTTTTATTTATTTTTCCATGATTGCTTGATCATCCTGCTATGTTCTCTGTATAAGAAATCTAATGCTAGGATGAAATTGGATATTATGGGTTCTATTTTATTTTAAAACGGATCATATGATTAATTATAAGATAGATTGTTGGATGCTTAAGCCTAACAATGATGTGTAAACCTTGCTTGCTTTCATATGACCATATAGAACCCATGTATTATGTTGGTTGCATCATATTCTATGAACTTTGATTGCTAGAACCTGATATGGTCCGATTTTTTTTAAATGGTTTAAATGTTAAGTTTATGAATTTCAGATGTCAAAACTTAGCAACCTTGATTATGTTGCATTGGAAGTCTCTGGTTACAAATACCTACAGTGGGCATTAGACACACAGATCCTACTCAAATCCAAAGGGATTGGTGAGACAATTGTTGATGGCAACAGTGCCAGTGATAAGGACAATAATAGGTCCTTATTTTTGATCCGACATCACCTCCATGAAAGTCTGAAAAATCAGTACTTAGCCGAGGATAGCCCTCTAGAGCTTTGGAATGCCTTAAAGGCCAGATATGACCACCAGAAAACGGTGCTCTTACCAAAGGCTAACTATGAGTGGAAAAACCTGAGGTTCCAAGACTTTAGGTCTGTGGATGAGTATAACTCAGCGTTGTTTAAAATAGTTGCAACATTGAGACTATGCGGCCAAGTAGTAACTCAAGATGAGTTACTTGACAAAACCTTCAGTACCTTTCATCCTGATAATATTGTACTGCAACAGCAGTATAGGGAAAAAGGTTTTGCCAATTATTCTGACTTGATTTCATGTTTATTATTGGCTGAGGCTAATAATAACTTACTGATGAAAAACAGTGAGTTGAGACCCCCAGGAACAAAACCCTTACCTGACTCGTCCAAACCGGCTAATGATGCCAATAAAGAAACCAATCTTGTCCAGCATAAGAACCAATCCGGCCATAGCCGTGGGAAAGGTCCTGGACGAGCCCGTGGCCAGAATAAGGGCCAGGGACGTGGACGTGGCCGCATGAACTCATCCGGCTCTGGCCGTGGAAGAGGCCGCGGCAAGGTTCATGGTAAGGCATTCAAATCACAAAAGAAAAGTGACTTATGTCACAGATGTGGTATGAGCAATCACTGGGCCAAGAATTGTAGAACTCCTGAGCATTTAATAAAGCTTTACCTATAGGATTTGAAAGACAATCCAGAAGCTCACATGGTCCAAGATGAGGGGTATGAGGGTGATGTGAAGATAATATGGAATATATCCAGGAAGACCTAGAAGAGTCTCAAAAATCAGACCATGATGAGTCTAAGAAATCCGACAAGAAAAGTCCGACCAAGTTGATCACATGGATTATGAGACTTCTGATGCTTTAAAATAGAATGTTTCTATGATTGCATAATTTTTTTTATTTACTTATGTCCTTTTTGATTTGATTTTTTTTAATTCTTCTTGACTTGTATTGCTTTGAGAATCTTTTATGAATGGAATTATTTGGTTTTGATTTAATTCTATGATTCTTGATTTTGAAGAATGAAAAATGGAATGGACATATTTGTGGTGGACAGTGGAACCAGCCACACCATTTTGAGAGACAAACAATATTTTATAAGTCTTACACTTAAGGCTGGAAATGTCTCGACCATTGCAGGAATGGCCAGCCTTATTGAAGGCCACGGCCAGGCCCATATTCTATTGCCTAATGGTACTCATCTTGAAATATTAGATGCTTTGTATTCAACAAGTTCTAATAGAAGTCTTTTGAGTTTCAAAAACATTAAACTAAATGGTTTCCATGTTGAAACAGTGGGGGAGGGAACTAAAGAGTTCCTTCAGATTTTTAAAATCAGCCAAGGCAATAAGAAAGTCTTTGAGACTATACCTGCGGTCAAGACTGGTCTATACCATGCTAGGACCAGTCTGGTCGAGGCCAATATTGTGATGAAACAATGAGTTCAAAGAACAATTCACTCTTTGGCACAACCGGTTAGGTCACCCCGGTTCAAACATGATGCGAAAACTCATGATTAATTCAAATGGGCACAGTTTGAAATCAAATAAAGTTATCCCAAAAGATCTCACATGTGAAGCATGTTTACAAGGGAAACTGATCACTAGGCCTTCACCAACAAACGTGAATAAGGAAATGATAAATTTTCTGGAAAGGATACAAGTGGATATATGTGAACCTATACACCCACCTTGTGGGAGTTTTAGATATTTTATGGTCCTAATTGATGTATCCACGAGATGGTCACATGTTTGTCTCCTATCCACACGAAATTTAGCACTTGCAAGGTTGCTAGCTCAGATCATAAGACTTAGAGCACACTTTCCAGATTTTCCTTTAAAGACTATACGTCTAAACAATGCTAGTGAGTTTACATCCCAAGCTTTTAATAATTATTGTATGTCTTTGGGAGTGAGTGTGGAACATAGTGTACCTCATGTACACACCCAAAATGGTCTGGCCGATTCCTTTATTAAACAGATTCAGCTGGTAGCCAGACCACTATTAATGAGATCTAGACTCCCAGTCTCAGCTTGGGGACATGCAGTCTTACATGCTGCTGAGTTAATTCACATCAGGCCATCTAGTGAGCATAAAGACTCGCCATCCCAGTTATTAACGGGTCATGAGCCAGAAATTTCCCATCTAAGAACATTTGGATGTGCCGTCCAAGTTCCTATAGCACCATTACAGAGAACAAAGATGGGACCTCAGAGGAGG